TCCACAACAGGAAACATATCCTTTAACATGGCGAGGCAGTCCTGCCCCTCGGACCCTCAGCAGCTGCAACATCACCTGTTTGAAACTGCATATCTATAAAATACATGCCTCACGGCTACAAATGTACAGAATAAACAGCATAAATGAAACATGTATTGACTGAGCGGGGGGCCAACATGAAGGAAGAAGAGTTTTTTTCAGTCCACTAGCCAGGATGAAAGAGAGAAATTGAAAACTGGTAGGCAGTTTATCTATAGTGTCACCAACATTGCACAAGTCCTCCTTCTCTACACCTGTAGCATTTGTTATTTCAAAAGACGAACATAAAGCATACACACTCAGGTTACAGTTTATTACATACACAAAGCTCAAACATGTCTTATATAACAGCCGGCAGTAAATTCCCCCTAAAATACGGCTGTATAGTTTGTCTGTGCAAGCAGCTTATTACGACACATATTTACGTCTATTGTTAGGATGCATCCTGTGGTGGCCATCGCAAATATGACGGAGGAGGAAATCAGGTGACGACATATAAAGAGAACAAAATCTGCGGTGCGTAGGCAGGAGGTCAGGGTGGATAGTTGGGTCAGTCAAACACTGGATTTTCATTGGTCAACTTACATAACATACTATACTTGCGTAAGATATGTAGCGTATTTAACTTGCATACGTGACTTAAGGTATAATATGTAACATTTCTGCATTAAAAGTTCAAAAACAACGACATGGATGTTATATATTTTGTTGGCTCGTGTACCTACATTACTCAGAATGTTTCCAATAATGTTCAAACTCAAAGAAATAAAAAGTAGTTTTATTGAAGACATGGCATGTGTCATTATGGTCGCATCTTCTTTACCTGCTCGATTTGTTTTAGGGGAACATGGAAAATACCAGATATGTCATCCTAAATCCTATGAGGTGTATTATACTAAATAACCTTAACACGGCATTTTTTTCTGCCACACAGCATCATTTTTTTCCATTAATGGCATGCTATTTAGCAACACAGTAGCAAGCTAATGCGTACAGTAAGCTAATGTATATGGAGCACCACATATTGGTTTTCTTTTTTTCCCCCTACTATATAAAATGGTTAAAATCTCCAGCATAGCACTGGCTATACATGTGTAACAGCAGCAACAGAAAGTTTGCTTATTCGCTTGGGGAATCAAAGCGGTCTGAATAAGACACCTGGCACTGTGTTAGCACTAGCTGAACTCAAGTTGCTATAACTACCTACTAACTGAAGGTCTCTGTATTCCCCCGGCCAAATACCACCACAATAAAGTCTAACTAGGGAAACACTGTTCAACAGGATCATAAAGTTATTTTCAGTATGAATATTTTGACCACAGATTATTACTAGCATTAGGTTAGTTGACCACCCATACAGTGACTAGCTAACATTATGCACCACAATTTAAAATTAGCTGCATAATGTTAGCTACAGTCACTGTATGGGTGGTCAACTAACCTAATGCTAGTAATAATTTAGCAAGATAACATAACATTAGTTTCAGCTATTTCATTAGATTGACATGACACAACATATAAGTGTGACTTCACGTACATGAAAAAAAAATTACTCGGCTACAGTTTCCTTGTCTGTGAATACAACAGCTCTCATTAGGGCTGCCCCCTAAAAGTCCACCAAACATTAGTTGATCAGAATGATCATTACTTGGCAAGATTTTGTTGGTCACTTAGTCACAGAAAAACAACAACAAAAAAAAAAACAAAAACGTGAAACTCTATCAGGAGCTGCGCCTTCTCAAAATAAATCAAAACCTATGTGACTGGACCATGTGGGAATCTAATTTGAAAGGACAGACACAGGAAGAGGCCACGCTCAGCAGTCAGACAGGAGTCATGTTAATTTCCAGGGCTGGTACCTGCGGTTATTCCACAGGCTAGTTAATAACATGTCTGGCAGGAAATCCAAAGTGTGGGATCATTTTGAGAAGGTGAAGGACGAACCCAAGGTGATATGTAAACTCATCTTCATTGGTCCACTACAAACATGATGTATCATCTGAAACATGTTAGTAGCTACATGCCCATTAGCCACTTAGCACAATCATTACTGCTTTGCCGACAGCGTCATTAACAGGCGGCTCGCTCAGTGTGTGACGTGCACTTGTAGATAAAATATAGGCCTATATTAATGAAGGTTCATTAGTACGGTTTTGGATTTCTCTGTAATGTAGCACAGTGTTAATGTTACTGATACTATTCTTTCTCACACCTTCAACTCAAACCATTGTGTTGAGAGACCGTTAGTGACAGAAACTGGATATTGTGCATTTAAGTTACGTAATAAACAAAGTTTTTTTCTGGACCTAACGAAGTAGTTTTCTGTTTAACTGCAAACAATAAGGTTGTATGCTGATAAAAGCATTACATTTATCAAAAACTAAAATTCCTCCTCTGGGCTCCCATAGGTGAAGGGTTCTGTATCCAACAGATAATGAATGATGATATAATAAAACACACTTGAAATAATGTTGGCATCAATTAAAACTGAAGTTTTAATTGATGCCAAACAGTGTACATTAATCAATACTTAAAATGCTCTTACATCTGCTTACAGCTACATAACAGTGTGTAATTATATACTGCTTAAGAATACTAAATAAGGGGACTTGCATATTTCACAGTTACATTAGCTGACTGCATTAGTGTGAGCTAGATGTACCAGAAAACTCGCAAGTGATTGGCATGTGCATATGTCTTCAAAAGGAGCCTACTTGTTGGTGCGACTTTGTGAAGGGTGGAGTACAGTTTGACCCCTACAGCTACAGTTTCACACCACAACCACAGGGAGAACCACACCAAGCAGAAATACACTTTATTAGGTACATCTGTACAATGTAATGCAATCCAACACAACTGTTCTGCCATAAAGTCGACTTTTATGATGCTTATTACATTCAGTATTTATAGAGGTGTAAATTCAATTATATGTTTTAGCATCAGGTTCATAGTTAGCGGTGGTGTTGTACTGGATCGCATTATCCTCAAAGGTGTTTCTAATATTCCGCTGTAAATAGGGAGGACAAAAATTAGACCTCTCAACACTGCTCGGTGTAATGTAGTCCAGTGCGACACCACCTTTAACTTTGACTTCAGCAGTAAACATGTAATTGAGTTTACAAATTTACAACAGAATCAACAAAACCTGAACATACATGTAGAGTTTACAGCAGAGAATTGCACTAAATTGTACAGGTGTACCTAATAAAGTGGCCACTAGGTGTAAATAAAGTCTTTCCACCAACACAAACTAAATTATGGTTAAAATGCATTATTATTTTTTCCCTTTTTCTAATAAATGAGGACGAGCTGACTAGGGGGAAAAAAAAACTTAACTCAACTGCAACTAATTGCTCCTTTCATCTATCCAATTAAAAGCAGAATTTTAATCCGAGTAGTTTATTTCTTGTTTTGATAGCTCATCACGTGCCACAGCCTTTTAATCAGCACAAAAATGTAAGTATTGCATATTAATTCCGCACTGAGGGATGAGCAGTTATTTACACTGGTGATTTTCATCACTCTCTCTCCCTGCGTGGGACTCCTCCAGGGCCGGCCCCACGATGACTGGGCCCTAATTGACAGCCACACTGAAGGATGTGTTGGCAAAGCTAGCCTGCTAACTGCTAATATTTTCAATCCATACCCACTCAGGTGTGTATGTGTGAGAGGGTGTGAGGAGGTTGTTAAAATGGTGGCGAGGATCAATAGGATGTTGTTGTTAGTGAGAGACCTTTCAAGGGAAACATCAGTAAGGTGGCATCACAAGTTGTCATGTGTGATGTTTGTGAAATGTATCTGGAATGTCTCTACCTTCAGCTGCCTGTATAAACAGTCGGCGGCGACAGCTCAGCCTCCCTGCATTTTCTGTGATGAAACAGCTCGGTTGCATGAGGTAATCTCACCCTTACCCAAATGAGATGGTAATGCCTTCACTCAGGGAATTCAGCAACACGCAGCAGCACCTAGAAGGAGGCAGTGCAACTCAAATGGGACTAATAATAGAGCCTCCGTTCTCTTAACTCGGAATCTATATTGTACGCTTCAAAAATGAGATCAACTATATGGGTCAGTGGGATTTCTGTGAGAGGAAAAAAAAGAAATAGAAAAGGAGCAAAAGAAAATATGCTCTGCTGACAACAGATCTGAGGAATGCAGCAGCTAATAAGAAAATGATTTGGGCAGAGTAACAGCTCAGAACTTTAATTAACAGAGCTGGTTTTAACTGATTGAAAGGGAATACATGTCCACACTCGTGTGCATGCGAGCCTAATTATTTTCAACCCCTTGATTGTCTAAATAGGCTTTATAAATAAAAGCACAAGTGACTTGAAATGTTCAAAGGAAATTATTTTAGAAACGAAAATGATCAAAGAGCAGTCTTTCATAACTTCTGTGATCTGTGAGCTAGAATACACGGGGACTTCAGTCCTCCACGCTGCTGCGGCCTAGGTTTAACTGTGGAGGACACACACACAAGCACGCACAAGCACGCACACCACTACTCCACCCCCAACATCTGGCTTTATCAAGAGACAATAAAGGATATTTATTAGCCTCCATCTTTGTTGAGCGTGCCCGCACATTACACTGAGCTAATAGAAGAAAACAGCATCAATTAATATCAATATGACATATGATATAGATGTGAGAGAGATAAGATGTGAGATCATCTATAGGCATCCAGGGTGATGGATTTACAACATGGAACAACAATAAATCCAGTTTTATTATGGGAATGAATAATGAAACGTGTTTAGATAATGATGTCAGTGACTTCACGTTGCCTCTGGCATCTTGTTCACATGTGTGTATTACCAACAGCCCACGCTGGTTCCTGATGTGCTTACTCTGTTGCTTATGTTGTTGGCTGATATCTTTACTTTATGTGTTGATAAAAGGAAGTAAATGTACAACATTTCAAAACACATGCAAGAGAAAGAGCACAGTTGGGTACTTACAGTGCAGCTGCGCGGTGATAAGCTGGAGAGAGGGAGTGGTGTCTCTCTTTTCTCCCTCCCAGGCTCCTTGGCATTATTCATGACCCCTCGGACGTGGTATATTCTGAATTAAATTAATGTACAGAGCATAGTTAATGATGTGATGATCAAGTGGTGATAAGTCAAATACAGTACATGCATAGCTTTAAGTGATTAATTTATAGCTGGGGCCTTTATGCTGGCGCTCTTAAAGTTTCTCATATTGTACACTTTAAAACAAGGATGTCACTGTTTCCACAGCGAGCTCTTCTCTTCCACACAAGTTTCAGAAATCAGACTGAGTGCTGACCTGGTATCTGTCAAAGCAGGGTGGGGATTTTGTATTTGTCATACAGAAGGCGTTGCATCTCTGAGGGAATATGTTCTTTTTGTTACAGATAAATATTTCTGAGACACACCCCAGTTACTCAGATGAATTGCATAATTCTGTCAATTACATAACTGAAGGAACACTATGGCATTCACGACAGCAGCGGTACAGATAATGTATCGTGAATGGAGCTGAGGGCAAGTGCTAATTACCTCCGCTATATCCCACTTTAATAAAGGAGCTATATGAAACGCTGTGTTTTTGCATTGTGATGGATTTTTGATCCCCTGCCTCCTCCAGAAACCTCGAACACAGGATTATTCCCTGCGGACTGAAATAGATGCAGTCAGTTCTGCCTTGTTCTTTTTTTGAAAGTCATCTGTGGAAGGGTGCAAACTTCACAGGTTTAAGTCAGCAGCGATACTGGCGCAGCACTGATCCTGGGACAAAAACGCTGCAGCTGTTCTTCATGTTAAAAGTGTCCGTACACACACCTACACATCCTACATGCCATTACCATATCATAGCAAACGTCCGATACAAGGTTAGGCTGCCTCATTGATCATGAAAAAGATGAAGGGACAGTCCATCACTTTCCCTTTGCCACTTTTAAATCTGTTACCTGGGCTCCTCAAAGCAGCACTAGTGGCTAATTACTCTCTCTCATGCCCCTCCTGCTCCCTTTAGCCTGTGGCTAATGATAAACTATCCCCATCAATAGTTCTTTAACTTCACAGGGACCTAAATGACACTTTGGTCTGTTTGGATTATTTTATTGATGACTGTAAATAAATAAAGCAACAATGCATTTCTTCCTGTTGCCTCTGTGCCGTGAGAGTGCCGCTATCTGTGTCAAGCACTTTAGGGTCAAATCACATTTGTCCCCTCCATTAATGTCACAGCCTTAAAGCAACATATCATCACAGTGCGGCGCCTGGCCTAACTGTAATTGAAAAGGCCCAAGGGGAATTCCTGGGTTGTGTGTGGGGGCCCCCTAACCCCCCGCCAACCTACATCCATCATTGTAGAGTTAGGCCCTAGGGTGTTCTTGTAACGCTGGAGGTTAACAGTGAGATCGCCATGCGTCCTCACTTACAGCTCTCTAAAATGTGGCCCCCATGGGCCCCCCAAGGACTGCCACAAACACCATGCACCAGCTGAAAGCGACATACAGCATCATGTCAAGTGCATATTAATTTGACAGCCACATACCAAGGACTGCAAGCTCGAGTGCGTCAACACATCCATGTTCAGCGAGTGGATGCACTTCAATGGGGATGTGATCAGAAACAGAATCCTTCCTTCAGATGTTGAGTTCACAGGCTTGATTACACAGCCGCCTTGCAATGCATACTGCAACAGATAAAATTAAACACTCGCGATTACTCGCCGCTTTGAAACACCCTGGACCATGATCAATGTGATCTCTTTTTTAAGTTAAACCTCAAATGACAGAGATTTGAGAAATCATACAAAAAGTATTCAAATGCAGTATCGCACAACACACCAAATTGTTGCTAATGAAATGTGATAGTTTTGAGAGACGGCAAAGACAACAGGCACTTAGGGTCTCTTTGCACTGTTTTTGTAAAATCTAAGGCATTGTGCTCTTTAGGCGTCGTGATCAAAGCCTTTATAACATTTTCGAACAAAAGCTTCCAGTAAAAATGTGAATTATTAAACAGAGGCTCTAAAAGTCTAACTGATAATTTCTCAGAGATCATATACTGCCGAACTGTAAAGAAGCACAGATGAAGATAAAGGCATCAATTCTTGCTCCAGTGTGCAGATTTAAGCATATTCATCTGGCTCTTCACATACATGAAAGCTACCAGCTGCCCTTGCCAGCGAGTGGAGGACATTAAGGCTCAGCCTGGTTGATCTCTGATGACAAGGGTCTGGAGGAGGGATTAGAAGCAAGGGGACCAAAGTAATGGTCATTCCCTTAAAAGGATGGCACTGCATCTCATAGGCCTGGAGCTTACAAGAGTTGAAAGATCTTCAAAGGTCTGCTCACCCCACACAACCTACACTAACTCCCCCCAAAAAACCTTGGATGTATGAATTTTGAAAGATGTGGACTTTTAAAATATTATTTATTTTCCTTTTGCATTGCGACAGCCCACAACAAATACCGCAGGCTCTATCTTAAAACTTTCACTCTCAGTTTGTTGTTTACGCGCCCTATGAGATAATCATTGTCAGTCATTTGGTTGCCTCCTGAGCTTCGCAGCTCATAGGAGACCATTAAAGTCTCCATGATATCTCAGAAACTGGCTCATCACAAAATGTCAAAATATCTGTTACGTAAGGCATGGATAATAAATGAAAAAAAAAGGACATCTTTTTAAGAACCATCCACAGGGGTAAATTGCAATGCATCAAAAGGCAAATATGCATTAGATATGAGGATAGGCGGGGCCTTTCCCTCTATCCCGCTGCATATCGGCTGCTCAGCAATTCTCAGTTTTTTGGCGAATTCTGCAACAATAGTCAGAGAGCTGAGCGTTCGAGGGGCTTGGGCTTAAGTTGACAGTGGAGCAACCGTTGGGGAGAGTGAATAGGAGCCTAGTTTAATAAGCCCTGGTACAGGCTGGACTACACAGGGGGCTGGCACCGCTGAAATCAGAAAACTGCAGTGCAGATGAAGATGAGAAAGAAATCTAAAGGATCAGTGTGGTTAAAGCACAAGAGCACAGTGCTGCGACTCCACGTTGCTATTCACCATTTTATGGTTTGTAAACACATGAAACATGTGCATATAATTGTAGTGATTGCATTGTCTTACATAAGAGCCGCTCTTCTGATGGTAACGCTTATTAATTGTGAAGCTGTCAAATTAACAGGGGCTTAGACATGAAACAGATTACCTTACTAATGTTCTCACAGAGTGACATGAGCTACACACTCTGTTATTTCGTCTTATTGACACTTCTATTATATATTGTTGCATCTTTTCTTTTAGAATCAATCTTTGTTCATTACAATTGCCCTCAGCATGGTTAGCATCATTGACGCCTTGATGCCAAAGCCCTCAGTAGCTACCAGTCTCCAACTGGAAAGAGAATGTGAAGAAAAAAAAATTAAAGCAGCAGTGCAGCTGCATCCAGTTTACCACGTGGGGTTGCAATTTTCCATGGAGAGAGGGGCAGTGTACAGAAAAAACAGATATATATGAGTCAAGTTCCATGCATGTTTGGGGGTAGAATCTGGCGGAGGACACCTACTTACCATGGAACCACACTGGCAGAGATTAGGGGGCCATCATGAAGGAGCCATAGAGGGTGAAGATAGCCAGGAGCTGCAGGGATAGAGATAGATGAGACGGAGGAACAAGAGGACCTGGCAAAAAAAAAAGGGGAAGGGGGGGGGGGGGGGGCACAGAGGGGTGGATGAAAAGAAAGCAAGTTGGGGAGCAACAGCACCACTGGCTTTGACCTGGGGAAGATGGGGGGGAAAGCCAGAGATCCAATTAAAATCGCACTTGGTCAGTGAGAGTCAACGCTGACACAGCCTCTCCAGCCTCTCCAGCCCGAGCCGAGTGCTTAAACCGTACTTGGAAAAAAGTACGAGAGCCTCACAGTGTAAGTTACGCAAGATGTCATACGTGGTTATGATGATGCATAAAACCAAAGACCTGGTGTGACAAAGCAGCCCACCCCCTGGTACACAGCTGGGGCTCGGCCCAAGTATGGCATAACAGACAGGCAGGGGGGCGAGATGGCAACCGAATGGATCCCAAGGTGAAATGGATTTATTTACATTAAATTGATGTATACCCTGTATACTGTTTCCAAAATGGCGCCTGCGCTTGTTGCTAGGCAGAGAGCGCAAGAGTAAAGATGGCGGCGGGCAAATGGCAAACTGGGAAGCGGAGGTCTAATCAGTTGTGATTACTGGGGGGAAGGGTGTGGCAGGGTTCAATGATTATGGAATATTACCACAGCTTGGTCAGAATACACAACGGGAAGCTTACATGCTGGAGTCGGAGACATTTTAGGTTGCTGCCTTTGGCTTCATACATGTCCTCAGAAAATCAGTTCTCCACATTGCAAACACAGAAGCCTCTCTGAGCACAAAATAATGTTTGATCACCTCCATTGTGATTTCTGTGGAGAGATTTACTATTTTTAGAAACAGAGGACAGGAGGGCAGAGTGTGTGCATACAATAGTTGGGGTTTAGAAGATGAGCTCTGAGATAGAATATCTCCTGATTACTCTCAAAACATTGATATTACAGTGACACTAAAAGCACTTGATGCAAGCTATTGATAAGGTTACAATACAAGAGGAAGGGGTCTCATAAATTTCAGTCATCACATCACTAAAGTACACTGATCAAAGCCAACCCAGTTCACCTCAATTTTCTGGAAGAAAGAAGCACTTCACAATTGAAATATGTTCCAACATCAACCACTTTAAATCCTCTATCTTTGACCATATCACACCACTTACCAAAAAATCTTCAACTGCATAAAAATTATTATCTATATCACCCTGAGTCGTACCAACGCAGACAGGTACACATACTCATCAGTAGAAACATGAATTCAGTTCAAACTAGTATTTGTCGTTGTCAAAACTGAAACCCAGATAATGAAATTTGTGGATGGTTTTCAGAGAGAGACGCCTCACGGAAAGCCAAAAGCGAAATTAACTGCAGTCAAACTCTGAAGGGATTTGCAAAATGCATCATCAAAAATATCTGACTGTCCCTAAAGATGCATCCCCATGAGTATCGTGTGCAACATGCACTTTTAACCAGCACACAGAATGCGTAAACAAGTTCATCAGAGCTTTGCAAAATCTGGAGAACAATTACAGCGTAATGTTTCGCTTAAAAACATGACAGAGGATTAAAACCGTTATGGGATTTTTTTAAATGTTTTTTTTTCCTTAAATATAGAAGGATGAACGTTGCAATAAAAATAATATGAGCGTCTTGTAGGCTTGTCTTGATTGTGTTTTGTTTTACAAATAGCATCAAACACTAAAACCAGCATCTTCTAAACTTCCAAAGAGCCTGAAGTGTATTAATATGGTCGACACAGGAAGGAAAACATCTCCTAATACAGTCTTGGAGCATTTACCCTTTGTATTTTTGTGGCCATGCACACAACTGCCCCTCCATCAAATCCTCTCACTGGAATAAAGAACATCCTGATTACAGCTAGTTAGCTGTCAGATCACTGTAAGCATATATTTCAAAGAAATGTAAAATTAATGCACTTTTGACCTGATATCCCTCTGAAACGTGTGAGGCAAATTGGTATATATATAATGGCAGTATTCATCCGTATGTTTAATGTTATAAAATGCTGACATCCATACATACAGGTACAAAGTATAAAGCGTTGCTGGCAGGGGAGCTGAGGGGTTTTTATTACCTTATTCATCATAATTGTGACCTGTTTGACCTCCACAATAATAAGCTGGATGAGGACAGACACTGTGTACATCTTTAGCTGTCCCATTAACTGTACTTAAATCTGTTCACTCGCTTTCCAATCACTCTCCCTTTAAGTATTGTTAGAAAGAGAGGCGTAATTTCTGGCTCATGAAACAGGCAGAATGAGCTGTGTGACAACAGTAACTCACTACACATGAGTTCTGCACCAGGACTAAATAGTGAAACTGAATTCCAAGCTCTGCCGAGAAAAAGACAGGCTTCAAACAGGAATCTGCTCAGCTTATTTCTCAGAAATAATGAGGTGTTTGTTGACATTTACATTCCACAAGGTACAAAAACACAACCAAAAACATGAGCAAATATGTCAGCTAAACTGCAGCTTAGGTGAAGTGAAGCAAACATGTTGCTATTAGGAGTTTGTGCATCCAAAAACAGAAAGCTAACATATTTTTGTTTGGCTTTCCCCCCCCCCAAAACTTTCCCAACTTTTATTAACAGCCACATTAAACAAAACACCACATATCTGTCTTCTTTGAGTTGTTTGTGATTTTTTAAACAGTGAAAAAAATCTATCAATTCAGACTCAAAATGAGGAGCTGAAATTATTTGAATTTAAAAGCCTTTAGAGAGTGAATAAAAGTTTTCTGGTTTGAATAGAGTAATGATTGGGGATAAAAAATTGAGCATTTATTTTTTAGTGTTTGGACAATACAATATTTTGGGGCTATATGTGTGTTTGCAGCTTACTCACCTTCAAGGTAAGATTTGAAGGGTGTGTGCGCGTATGTGTGTGCGTGCGTGAGCGACAGAAATACAAAGAGGGACGGAAATCAAATGAAAAGATAAAAACTGGTTATTGGATGTAAAAAAAAATGAGCAAAAATTGCTTTGAAGTGGTTGCAAAATGCACGCGAGGACGTGTCTCATTGAAAAACATTGAAACAGAATGCGCGTGACCTTGGGGCAAATACACCTGTATCCAAAAACACGCGCATTAATGGCGCAGCTAAGAAATCAGATTGTAAAGTGGACGCTGTTTGGTTGTGAGAGGGCCGGTTGGTTTTTGCTGTGCAGAGTGACCATCAGATTTTAACCACATTTTAGTTTCTCGCGTGTTTCTGGTCTCACACACACACACACACAGTCACACTGGTGCAATAACCTCTGAGTTGCAGGCCTGACCTGCTCCTGCAACTATAAGCACACAATATGATCTTCTGCAGGTGAGAATATCCGCCATGTGCATGCGTTGCATTAGTTTGCACAAAAATCGCAAACCTGCAAATCTGACGTGCGCCACTAGAGAGAATAAAAATTAGAAATAAAGCATAAAAAAGTGAGATGAAAACGCATTGATTGGGTTTAACCACACACGCCTGATCAAAGAGAATATAGACACTTTAATAAAATATAGAATACATAATTAATTATACAGTAGGCTTATGTACAGTAGAACTGTATGCTAATTAAACGTTTTTAATAGTATCACGAACACTGGTTTATGCTCACACTGGTCTTACTTTGCACAGAAATGTGAAATATACATATAATACAAACAGGAATGTGTAATGAAAAGGGAAACTTAATCAAGAGGAGAGGGAAATAAAAAACCTACTGAGCCTCGCAGTATTTTAATTACAGACAAATCATGCTTCAGGCCCATCATCACGTGTTAGGTCCCAAAACTTCACTTGAGAGAGGGAAATTCAGATATTTATTATCTTGCGACATACATAAAGACATGAATAATGTTTCTATCTTCCCGACATACATTACATCTAGTTTACATTCAACAAAGACCCCTAAACTGAGGGCTACATTCAGCAAGACGCCTCCTTTCACTTTCCAGTAACAGCCTAAAAGTTCAGAAGACTTCCCATCAAAAAATCCTTTGTCCTTTTTTTGTCTCACTTAAGATAGATATCTTTAATAATTATGCAACACAGCGAACAATTAGGCATATACACTTTGTAAAAGTTCCTATAACCCACAGTGGGGGAGATATGGCTATAGGCTACGAGCCAAACCCAACCGAACAGGCCTCACAACAACAAATAAAGCTCGCCACATTTCGCAATGCAACATTTCAATAGGATGACTCAGGACGTGTCACAAAATATTTGATACAACATTCACAAAAAATACAGAGAGTAATAGAGACACTGGTGTAAGTTTTTAGGCTATAACATGGAAAAAATAGGCCCGAGAAGAAAAAAAAAAGCTGCAGGTCGTGGCGCATGTGTCCCAACAGGAACTCAGAGAGAGGGGATGTTGTTACATTGCTTTGGTGGGAAAGAGTCCACGCCGCTGTGGCATGTGTACCATCCATTGACGATACTTTTCTGAAAGGGAGAAGTGGAGGGGAAAGTCCGTGAGCTCTGGGCGAAAGTGTGACCCGTCTGTCCGCAGGGGTACTGGGAGGACTGGGACCTGTAGTTGCCTCTCTGTAGCAACAAAGGGTCCAAGAGGGGCTGTGACCTGTGCGCGGAGTAGTCCAAACTGCTGTCAAACGTGTGATGGAAACGTGACCTCGGGGTCGACTCGTCTCGACTCTCTGGGGACAGGGGAACATCTTGGGTGGAGGTGGGGGGCTGAGGAGGGCTGATATGGGCTCCATCCGGGACTCGGGTCGACCTGGCCTCCGCGATGTGACCCCCGTCGCCGGGACGCGCGTCATCGCTTTTGGGGACCTGGGCCTTGTTGCAGTGCAGCTTCATATGCTTTCTCAGGGAGCTCGGGTGGGTGTAACACTTGTCGCAGCCCCTGACCTTGCACATGTAGGGTTTGTCACTGGAGTGCACATGAGAGTGCTTCTTTCGGTCGCTGCTGTTCGCAAACCTCCGGTTGCAGCCCTCGAACTCACATTTAAAAGGTTTTTCACCTAAACGTGCAAAAAAGAGAAATGACGGCGAGTTACGAGAATGCTTACAG